CCCGATCTGGTTAAAAAGTATGTAAGTGGGGCCGGGCGCGGTGGCTCAAGCCTGTAATCCCAGCACTTTGGGAGGCTGAAGTGAGTGGATCACTTGAGGTCAGGAGTTCAACACCAGCCTGGCCAACATGGTAAACCCTGACCCTACTAAAAAATACAAAAATTAGTTGGGCATGGTGGCACACACCTGTGGTCCCAGCTTCTAAGGAGGCCGAGGCAGGAGAATTGCTTGAACCCCAGGGATGGAGATTGCAGTGAGCCAAGATCACGCCACTGTACTCCAGCCTGGATGACAGAGTGAGACTCTGTCTCGAAGAAAAAAAGTACCTAAGTTTTTCTTTTCCTTTTTTTTTTTTTTTTTTTTTTTTTTTTGAGAAGGAGTTTCACTCCTTCACCCAGGCAGGAGTGCAGTGGCACAATCTCGGCTCATTACAACCTCTGCCTCCTGATTTCAAGCGATTCTCCTGCCTCAGCCTCCTGAGTTGGGGTTACAGATGCCCACCACGACACCCGGCTAATTTTTGTATTTTTAGTAGAGACAGGTTTCGCCACGTTGGCCAGGCGGTCTCAAACTTCTGACCTTTGATCCGCCCACCACAGCCACCCAAAGTGCTGGGATTACAGGCGTAGCCACTGCGGACAGCCTTTTCTTTTTTTTTTTTTTTTTTTGAGACGGAGTCTTGCTCTTGTTACCCAGGTTGGAGTGCAATGGCGCGATCTCGACTCACTGCAACCTCCGTCTCCTGGGTTGAGGCAATTCTCCTGCCTCAGCCTCCTGAGTAGCTGGGATTACAGGCACGTGCCACCATGCCCAGCTAATTTTTTGTATTTTTAGTAGAGACGGGGTTTCACCATGTTGACCAGGATGGTCTCGATCTCTTGACCTCGTGATCCACCCGCCTCGGCCTCCCAAAGTGCTGGGATTACAGGCTTGAGCCACCGCGCCCGGCAGCCTTTTCTTTTTTTTTAAAAAAGATTACATATTAGGTCAGGTGCGGCGGCTCACACGTGTAATCTCAACACTTGGGGAGGCCAAGATGGGCATATCACTTGAGCCCAGGAGTTTGAGACCTGCATGGGCAACATGGTGAAACTCTAAAAAAAAAAAAAAAAATACATATATATACTTTAATATACATATAAAATCCTAAGTTTTAATATATATATTAAAATATTATATATTTAATCTATATATATAAAACTCCCAAGTAGCTGGGATTACTGGCACGCACTAGGCATGGTAGAGCACGCCAGTAATCCCAGCTACTTAGGAGGCTGAGGCTAAGGTGGGAGGATCGCTTCAGCCCGGGAGGTGAAGGCTGCAGTGAGCCATGATCACTCTGCTTGCTGCACTCCAGCCTGTGCAACAGGGCAAGACCCTGTCTCAAAAAAGAAGAAGTTTTTTTTTTTTTTTTTTTTTAAAGAGATTACAGACCAGGCACGGTGGCTCACGCCTGTAATTCCAGCACTTTGGGAGGCCGAGGCAGGCCTCGTGATCTCTTGATCAAGAGATCAAGACCATCTGGCCAACATAATGAAACCCTGTCTCTACTAAAATACAAAAATTAGCTGGCCACGGTGGCGCATGCCTGTAGTCCCAGCTACTGGGGAGGCTGAGGCAGAATTGCTTGAACCCGGGAGGTGGAGGATACAGTGAGCCGAGATCACGCCACTGCAATCCAGCCGGCGCCTGGTGACAGAAACTCTGTCTCAAAAAAAAAAAGAGAGATTACATATTTACCATTAGACATCTCTCATTAGCTCTAAATTGGCAATTGGTCTTACACTGCTCTGAACCAGATCCTCGTCTGTACTTCCTCCTGTACCAGCTCGCGGGAGCCACAGAGCTGTTCCGTTCAGACCTGAGAGCCCTGCTCAGGTACTCACGCTGAGACATGCATGTCACTTTGCTCCAGTGACTGAAGACCTGAGAACTCCTTCGTCCTCTATTTTACAGAGAAGAAACATTGAAAGCTACAGAAAAGCATCTCTGCTTTTGTGAAAGCACAACTCTCTTCTCCATGCTGACTCGGTCAGGGAAAAAGGTCAACTTTTGGATCCACTCTTCTGAAGAAGAAAGTGTCCCTGTGCCCTCACCTGGCACTAGCCAACTTGAATCAGTGCAGAGGAAAGCTCTTGACTCCCTAATGTCATGTCCTAATATTACAAGCTCTGACTGAAATTTCTGACTCAAAATGTTTGTAACCTAAACATTTAAACTGAATGGCAAGGAAGGAGGATCCACGCTTCCAGAAATAAGGCTTGAGCCAAGACAGACCCAGAGGTTGCCCTGCCTTTGGCACAGGAGCCGAAAGCTGAGCAAGCGCCTCCCCTTGGGCCAGGCCTTCTTGACCTCCAAACCGCTGGGCTAGGAGAGCCTGGGCCTGCCCCATGGCCACCTAGGCAGATGTGTTTTGGTTGTACCCGCCCTTCCCTGTGGGCCTGCTGCCAGGTGGTGGTGGTCCCAGGATGAAACCAGCCCTCCCCTAAGACCTGGATCCACAGGGCATAGACAACACAAAGGAACTCAGGACACTGTGACTGGATGCAGCTCAGGCCCAAATATGTGGGGCAGGTCCGGTCACGACAGCAGCCCCATTTCCCTTCTGGAGAGTCTGGACCGCCATCCCTTGCTGTCATGCCCCTACCCCATGGGAAACTCACTTCCACTTAACCTAACGGTAAGCAGAATTTTCACCGAATGCCCCTGGGTCTGTGGAGGGGCGGGGAAGGGAGGATGAAGGGCGATGAAATGGGGAAGCGGGGAGAACAGGGAAGAGAGAGAAACAGCTTGTTGGCCAAGAACAGAGGAGAGGAAATGACAAAGCTGCCCCAGGAGAGGCAAAACAGGCAGTGAGGACACCCATAGGTCCCTCCCTCCCCCTCCGACATCTGCCCCCATCCTTCTCTAGCCTCCACCAAAAAAAAAAAACAGTTCCATCTCAACTATCAGCTAATGGTTTTATACATATATGCATGGATGTATGGAGACGCATGGTTTTGCTATGTTGCCCAGGCTGGTCTCAAACTCCTGGGTTCAAGTGATTATCCTGCCTCAGTCTTTCAGGTAGCTGGGACCACAGGCACACCACCACCCCTGGCTAATTTTTCTTTTCTTTTCTTTTTTTGAGATAGAGTTTCATTCTTGTTGCCCAGGCTGGAGTGCACTGGCACAATCTCGGCTCACGGCAACCGCCGCCTCCAAGGTTCAAGCAATTCTCCTGCCTCAGCCTCCCAGGTAGTTGGGATTACAGGCACCTGCCAACATGCTTGGCTAATTTTTTTGCATTTTTAGTAGAGACAGGGTTTCACCATGTTGGCCAGGCTGGTCTTGAACTCCTGACCTCAGGTGATCCGCCTGCCTTGGCCTCTCAAAGTGCTGGGATTACAGGCGTGAGCCACCACATTGGGCCAAATTTTTTAATGTATTTTTTTGTAGAGACCGAATCTTGCCTCGTCAGGCTGGTCTTGAACTCCTGGGCTCAAGCAATCTTCCCACCTCTGTCTGTGCTCACTCATGGCAACTCTTGGCACAGGTCCCTATGTCAACAGACAAAGCCACAAGCCAGGCCTGTGGAGCCCAAGTGAACATTCTGGCCATGAACCAGGAGTGTTCCCAGGACATCATGAGTTCCTGAAAAGAAATTCAGGGATGGAGCTCTTCTACTTCTCAGCAGTCCCTGACATCCTGCCTTCAAGAGGGCCCTCGCGCCCTGCACAAAATCACCTCTGCCTACTGGTGGGCCACAGGTTGAGTCGGGACTCAACGGAATAGCACTCTGGAAGCCAAAAAGCATTATTCAAGCTGTGCACACTCCCCGCCACAGGGCTAAACGGAACTAAAAGGAACACTCTGGGTCTTCAGCCTGAGTGACTCAGCAAGCAGCTTTCCAGAGCATGATTTCAAGCTACTGTTTTTTTTTTTTTTCTGAGACAGGGTCTTGCTCTGTCACCCAGGCTGGAGTGCAGTGGTGTGATTTTGGCTCACTGCAACCTCTACCTCTTGGTTCAAGCAATCCTCCCACCTCAGTCTCCCAAGTAGCTGGAACCACAGGCCCACACCACCACATCCAGCTAATTTTTGTATTTTTAGTTGACATGAGCTTTCGCCACACTGCCCAGGCTGGTTTCAAACTCCTGAGCTCAAGTAATCCGCCCACCTCAGCCTCCCAAAGTGCTGAGACTACAGCCATGAGCCACTACTCCAGGCCTCTACCCTTTCCAGCGACATCATTCTGTGAAATAAAAACTCAACATAAAAACATCCTTTTTGTTTTGTTTTGAGACAGAGTCCACTCTGTCACCCAGGCTGGAGTGCAATGGCATGTCTTGGCTCACTGCACCCTCTACCTCTTGAGTTGAAGCAATTCTCCCTGCCTCAGCCTCCCAAGTAGCTGGGATTACAGATACTTGCCACCTTGCCCAGCTAATTTTTTTATTTTTAGTAGAGACGGGGTTTCGCCATGTTGGCCAGGCTGGTCTTGAACTCCTGACCACAGGTGATCCACCTGCCTCGGCCTCTTAAAGGGCTGGGATTACCAGAGTGAGCCACCGTGCCTGGCCTTTGTTCTTTTTTGAGGTGGAGTTTCACTCGTTTCCCAGGCTAGAGTGCAATGGTGCAATCTCAGCTTACTGCAATCTCCACATCCTGGGTTCAAGTGATTCTCCTGCATCAGCCTCCAGAGTAGCTGGGATTACAGGCATGCACCACCATGCCAAGCTAATTTTTTGTATTTAGTAGAAATGGGGTTTCACCATATTGGTCAGGCTGGTCTTGAACTCCTGACCTCAGGTGATCCACCCACTTTGACCTTCAGATTCTCCTGCTCCAGCCTCTCAAGTAGCTGGGATTACAAAGTGCTTAAATTACAGGCATGAGCCACTGTTCCTGGCCATAAATGAGCCAATATAAACAGAATAAACAAGTGAAAAGGTAGAGTTTGTGCTGAAAGTAAAGTGATTTAAAAATTGAATTAAGGGGCTGGGTGCGGTGGCTCATACCTATAATCCCAGCACTTTGGGAAGCTGAGGTGAGCAGACCACGAGGTCAGATGATCAAGACCATCCTGACCAACATGGTGAAACCCCATCTCTACTAAAAATTCACAAATTAGCCAGGTGTGGTGGTGTGCACCTGCAGTCCCAGCTACTCAGGAGGCTGAGGCAGGAGAATCGCTGGAACCAGGGAGACGTTGGCTATTCCTCAGTGGTGACAGGTTCCCAGCTCCTGAAGTCTCTGCTTGCATGGCACTGAGGAGGCCTTCCTTTTCTGTCTCAGCCTAGCTCCCCTCGAGCCCTGGGGCACCCTGTACCCTTTACCTGTTTCAGTTTTCTTCACAGCATTTCAACCATTTGACATGCCTATGAGTCCATCTGCTGCTCCTCTGTCTTCCCTACTAACAAGGGAAGCCCTGATTCTGTTCACTGGTAGATCCCCAGCATCTCAACGGGACCCAGCACATAGAAGGAAGTCAAAGATTTGGCCAATGAATAAGGGAATTCAAGAAGAAAGAAATCATGTTCATTTGTGATTTCTGTTTTGCAGATATCCAGTGTGGTTCATGTACACAACGATGCAAACTACAAATAGGCCCCCTTATCAGCAGGAGGGGGGATACATTCCAAGACCCCCTGGTGGATGCCCAAAGTCACCAACAATAAGGAACCCAACTGCCATCAATCGGAACACATTTCTGTTCATGTCTTCCACCCACAAATTTAATGCCTTTTCTACCTTTTTTCTCCCCTTTTTTTTGAAATTGGGTCTCACTCTGTCATCCAGGCTGGAGTGCAGCGGCACAATCATAGCTCACTGCTGCCTTGAACTTCTGGGCTCAGGCAATTCTCCTACCTTAGCCTCCTGAGAAGCTGAGACCACAAGTGTGTGCCACCATGCCTGCCTAGTTTGTTTTTCATGTGACCCTCCCACCTCAGCCTCTCAAAGTGCTGGGATTACGGGTGTGAGCCACCATGCCTGGCCGCCTTTTCCACCTTAACTAAGCATTTGGCAAGTGGTGGATGTAACTTTTACAGTCTTAGGGGCAAGAGCAAAACAAGCAAAAAAATTTTTTTCTTCTTCACAATGGATAAAAGATTCATTCTTACCATAGATCTTATCAAAATCAGCACGTGATTTTTTTTTTTCTTTCCTTTTGAAGTCAGGAACTTTCACCTTTTCACTTAAAGAAAGCATTTTACTGCTTTCTCTTCGGCAATCCAAATTGCCAGAATCACTACTGTTGCACTTTGAGGCCATTATTAAGCCAAATACGGGTGACCAGAACCCAAGCACTGCAATACAACGAAAGTTGATCTGATAACTGAGACAGCTACTAAGTGACTCACAGGCAGGCAGCATGGACACTGAGGTCACAATGGACAAAGGGATGATGCATATCCTAGGTGGGAGAGAGTGAAAGTTCATCATGCTATTCAGAACAGGGAGACATTTAAAAGTTAGGAATTGTAGCTGGGTACGATGGCTCATGCCTATAATCCCAGCACTTTGGAAGGCCCAAGTGGGTGGATCACCTGAGGTCAGGAGTTCAAGAGCAGCCTGGCCAACATGGCGAAACCCCATCTCTACTAAAAAAAAAATTAGCCAGGCGTGGTGGCGCAAGCCTGTAATCCCAGGTACTCGAGAGGCTGAGGCTGGAGAATTGCTTGAACCCAGGAGGAGGAGGTTACAGTGAGCCGACATCATGCCACTACCCTCCAGCCTAGGCGACAGGGAGACTCCGTCTCAAAAAAAATAAATAAATAAAACAACTTAGGAATGTTTATTTCTGGAATTTTACATTTAATATTTTGAGACTGCAGGAACATGAAACCTTGGATAAGGGGGAAATACTATAATTGTTTTAGAAGCCAAACGCATGCCACAAACCATGACAGTGTCCATACCCTTTCAGGCAGCAATCCTACACCTAGACATTCACCCTGAGGAAAAGGCCTTACGTGCAAAGGTATGCACTGCAACATCATTCATGGTGGCACAAACTACCAGTATACCAGAATCAACTAAGGTGGTAAAGCCTCAGTGTCAAGCAGAGACTTCAGGAGCTGAGTGCCTGTCACCACTGAGGAAGAGCCAAGAGTGTGGCTCCATGGTGGCTCGCACCTGGAATCCCAGCACTTTGAGAGGCCAAGGCAAGAGGATCACTTGAGACCAGCCTTGGCAACATAGTGAGATCCCATCTCTACAAAAAATTAGCTGGGTGTGATGGTGGTGCATGCCTCTGGTCCCAGCTACTTGGGAGGCAGAGGTGGGAGGATTGCTTAAACCCGGGATGTTGAGGTTACAGTGAGCTGTGATTGCACCACTGCACTTCAGCCTGGACAACAAGCCAGACCCTGCCTCAAAAAAAAAAGAAAAAGAAAAAAACAGCTGAATTAATTTAAAAATAGAAACAGCCGGGCGCGGTGGCTCAAGCTTGTAAATCCCAGCACTTTGGGAGGCCGAGGCGGGTGGATCACGAGGTCAAGAGATCGAGACCATCCTGGTCAACATGGTGAAACCCCGTCTCTACTAAAAAAACAAAAAATTAGCTGGGCATGGTGGTGCGTGCCTGTAATCCCAGCTACTCAGGAGGCTGAGGCAGGAGAATTGCCTGAACCCAGGAGGCGGAGGTTGCGGTGAGCCGAGATCGCGCCATTGCACTCCAACCTGGGTAACATGAGTGAAACTCCGTCTCAAAAAAAAAAAAAAAAAAAATAGAAACAAAGACAGGAAGTGAATGCATAAAAAAAAATGAAGCTCATGATTAAGCAATCACAGTCACATGGTGAGAAGGCGTGGGAATCTTGATGTCCTGTTTTCCAACATTCTGTCACAGCGTTTGCTGTATCATCTGTCATTTAACAGGGAGTAAGACTGATTTCCACAAGCATTCCAAGACCATTCAATAGGGAAAGGATAATCTTTTCAACATATGATGCTAGCAAAACTGGACATCCACATGCAAAAGAATGACACTGAATTCTTCTCTTATACCATAAACAAAAATTAATTCAAAATGGATAAAAGACTTAAATATAAGAATAAAACCAGCCTTGTGAAGTGGCGCACACCTGTAGTTCACTACTGGGAAGGCTAAGGTAAAAGAAACATGTGAGCCCAGGAGTTCAAGGCTGTAGCAAGCTATGATCACACCACTACTCTCCAGCCTGGGCAGCACAATAAGACACTGTCTCTGAAAAACAACAACAACCTAAAACTGGCCAGGTACAGTGGCTCATGCCTGTAATTCTAGCACTTTGGGAGGCCAAGATGGGTGAATTACTTGAGCTCAGGACTTCGAAACCAGCCTGGGCAACATGTCAAAATCCCATCTCAACAAAAAATAGAAAAATTAGCAGCTGTGCACGGTGGCTCATGCCTATAATCCTAGCACTTTAGGAGGCCAAGGCGGGCAGATCACTTGAGGTCAGGAGTTCAAGACCAGCCTGGCCAATATGGGGAAACCCTGTCTCTACTAAAAAATACAAAAATTAGCTGGGCGTGGTTGTATGTGCCTGTGGTCCCAGCTACTTGGGAGTCTGAGGCAGGAGAATTGCCTGAACCCAGGAGGAGGAGGTTGCAGTGAGCCGAGATTGTGCCACTGCACTCCAGTCTGGCACCTGGCAACAGAGCAAGACTCTGTCTCAAAAAAAAAAATGATAAAAAAAATAAAAATAAATAAAATAATAATTTTTAATTGATAATAATTATGATTTTTTTTTTTTTTAATGGGGTTTCACCATGATGGCCAGGCTGGTCTTGAACTCCTAACTTCAGGTGATCCACCCACCTCGGCCTCCCAAAGTGCTAGAATTACAGGTGTGAGCCAACACACCCAGCATAAAATTATGATTATTTTTTAATAATTTTTTGAGATGGAGTCTCAAAAGTAAATAAATAAATAAATAAATTTTGTGTTTAGACTTGAGTCACATCGCGAAGATACCTCAGTATATATATACAAATGTTGCAAAATCCAAAAAGAAAATCTGAGACACTTCCAGTTCCAAGCATTTCAGATAAGGAATACTCAACCTACAATGTCAACTTCAGATCCAGACCATTCCCCCTTCATAAAATGAAATTTTGGAGTCCTACTTGAAAATCCAGGAGTGGCCAGGTACAGTGGCTCACACCTGTAATCACAGTGCTTTGGGAGGCTGAGGCAGGAGGATCACTTGAGCCCAGAAGTTTGAGACCAGCCTGGGCAATAGAGCAACATACTAAAAAACTACTCGCATTGGTCTTTTATGATTTTGGAAGTGACAGATTTCTTTTTTTTTTCTTTGAGATGGAGTTTCACTCTTCTTACCCAGGCTGGAGTGCAATGGCGTGATCTCGGCTCACCGCAACCTCCGTGTCCTGAGTTCAGGCAATTCTCCTGCCTCAGCCTCCCGAGTAGCTGGGATTACAGGCACGCACCACCATGCCCAGCTAATGTTTTGTATTTTTAGTAGAGACGGGGTTTCACCATGTTGACCAGGATGGTCTCGATCTCTTGACCTCGTGATCCACCTGCCTCGGCCTCCCAAAGTGCTGGGATTACAGGCTTGAGCCACCGCGCCCGGTGGAAGTGACAAATTTCTTCCGAATTTATATTCTCTTGGGAAACCTTTGAAGTGTGTGAGAATTTGTCAAAAGCTTGCAAGTTCGTCACAGGGTGAGTCTGCCTCACAAATACCCAAGGTCAGAAAGATGTCAGCTTGGATTTAACACTTGCGGCGGGCGGGGGGGGTGCTCATGCAGTTATAGTCATGTGCTACCTACACTTACAAGTACTTTACTAATCTAATGGAGAATGATATTTACAGGGGAAACCAGCAATGCCATGGGAAACAGAGTGCAGCATACTTTGAAAGTGTAACTCAACTACTACGAAATTACCCTTCACCAAAAGGATTTTCTGACACAGTACCAGAAAACTTTTTTTGTTTAAGGTAGGTTATTATAATCTCAAAGCCCAAGGTGTACAAAGAGGCCAAAGGGTAGGCACATAGACACGGGTGGGGGCAGATACCTCTTAGGTCAACTGCCACAGCTGGATCTGTATGGTCAGTTGACTAAGTCATCGTTTTACAGGGCTGTTAGAAATCAAGTGAAGTCCATATACTGGATTCTACAGGAAGAAAACAATCAAAATCAAAGTCCAAAAGAGGGTTTTTGAAGGAAACCTATAATGCAGCATGTAATGCCAATGGCAGCAAATATTCCTAGATAAACTGTGTTAGAGTTGGATGGAATCTCAGTCATGTTTCAACCCAACCTGCTGTTTTACTGTTAAAGACATGGAACCAGAGAGAAAGTGACATGTTCCAGTTTACACAGCTACTGCAGAGCATGGTTGGGACTCGCCTTCAGCATCCTGATGCCCTAATCATCATAGGTCCTATTAGAATGGATTGAGCTGACCTATTAGCAATTTGGAGTGGATCACCATTGCATTCCAGATATCACAAAGCTTCAACTGTTACCACATCTTTTGCCCAGGGTATTGAGGCCTATTATTGGTCCTTAGATATTTAGATTTTTTATTTGTTAAATTATGGCTACAAAAAAAGGCAACTGTTAAACTTACACCTTTTTTTTTTTTTTTGAAAGAGTTTCACTCTTGTTGCCCAGGCTGGATTGCAATGATGTGATTTCGGCTCACTGCAACCTCCGCCTCCTGGGGTTCAAGTGATTCTCCTGCCTCAGAGTCTAGAGTAGCTGAGATTACAGGCACCTGCCACCATGCCCGCCACATTTTTGTATATTTAGTGGAGACTAGGTTTCACCATGTTGGCCAGGCTGTTTTGAACTCCTGGTCTCAAGTGATCTGCCCGGCCTGGCCTCTCAAAATGCTGGGATTATGGGCCTGAGCCACCATGTCTGGCCTCTTTTTTCTGAATGTCTTTTTCACTGAACGTCTCCTCTGAGTCAGGCATTGCCCTGGGACTGGGAAGCACAGATAAAAATGATGTTTTGTTTTTTTGGTTGTGGTGGTTGTTGTTTTTTTTTTTTTTTTTGAGACGGAGTTTCGCTCTTGTTACCCAGGCTGGAGTGCAATGGCGCGATCTCGGCTTACCGCAACCTCCGCCTCCTGGGTTGAGGCAATTCTCCTGCCTCAGCCTCCTGAGTAGCTGGGATTACAGGCACGCGCCACCATGCCCAGCTAATTTTTTGTAGTTTTTAGTAGAGACGGGGTTTCACCATGTTGACCAGGATGGTCTCGATCTCTTGACCTCGTGATCCACCCGCCTCGGCCTCCCAAAGTGCTGGGATTACAGGCGTGAGCCACCGCGCCCGGCCGAAAATGATGTTTTGTTATATATCATGCATTTGACAGCAATGCTGGCTGCCCCGATCTTGTGACTATGATGGGAGGAAGCATTATGAGCAATAATGACAAAGGAATTTGATTATTTCTGTCTGGTTCCTGGTGAGAACTAATCCACATCACAAAAGCTCAATAGTTTCAGCCTTCTTCGGACTAACAAGGGCAAGAATATCATAACAGCCAGGATGTCAGCACCAACTCAAACATACGCTCTGAGACTTCAACAACAAGGAATTTCTACTCTGAACCCTTGGGAAGACCAAGGTTAGGTCTGGGGACAGAATACAAGCTTGACGTGACACCAAAGGTGTAACTCTTATATCTGGCCAAAAGCTACTGGAGACATGAGCTCCAAGAAAACGTATTTGACTTGTTGAAACATCTCAACTTTGGAACAACGGGAAAAGTGACAGTTTGCTGGACGAGAACCCAAGGCAGTTCTGCCTCATTCCTACCTCCCAGTGACCAGCGAGTTTGGGTGGAATCTCCAATCCCAGCTTCTCTAGCTCTCGCTCCCTGTATTTCTCATACTGCCGGTACCCTGCATATCCACCGCCTGTCGCCAACAGAATGGGCAGGGGGCGCAGCAGGAACGCGCTTCGGGCAGGGGCAGTGTGGATTTTTCTGGCATCTGTAACAAAAAACACGACAATTTTGAGCCTGGGAGACAAGAACAGGGAAGAGTCATGCAAACACACCAGCAGGACGGTCAGAAAAAGTCAGCGCACCTTAGAAGCCCTCAGCAGAGGTGACTGGGTCTAAGATATCTAGCAGGCAGACATAACCTTGGGTCACTACTGAGACCCTCCTGTCTCCAAATACTGTCAGTAAGTACAGGACAGGCATCTTTCCTATAGAATTACAATGCACTTCAATTGCCACTGCAGTCACAAAATGTATTAATAAGATGAAAACACTGAATCACAAAGAGGTTAAGAAACTAATCAAGGCTGCCCAGGTGCACAAACAGGTCTAGAACTTGAAGTCAAACACCATTTCTCACCCAGGGCTCTTTGATCTTGCTTTTATAATGCAGGCCCAATTTTGATAGGTCACTGGTATTCTCTCTCAAAATCTCATAAATTCTTACAGGTCAACAATAAAAAGACAAATAGCCAGGCACAGTGGCTTGCACCTATAGTCCCAGCTACTAGGGAGACTGAGGTGGGAGGATGGCTTGAACCCAAGAGTTCAAGGTTACACTGAGCTATGATCACGCCACTAGACTCCAGCCTAAGCAACAGAGTGAGACTCAATCAATCAATCAAAATGTGCAAATAATTTGAATAGACTTTTGTCCAAAGAAAACATACATTGGCCAATAAGCACAAGAAAAAACAGAGTTAAATATCTGTTATGCATTGAATTGCTGAAAACTCCCCAAAATTCTAACCCTGAGTACCTTAGAATGTGCTTTTACTTGGTTAGAAAGAGGGTCTTTACAGAGGTTATCAAGTTAAAATGAGGTTGCCAAGGTGGGTCCAAATCCAGTATGATGGATATCCTTATAAAAAGGGAAAATCAGCCAGGCACAGTAGCGCACACCTGTAATCCCAGCACTTTGGGAGGCAGAGGTGGGCGGATCACAAAGTCAGGAGTTCGAGACCAGCCTGGCCAATATGGTAAAATGCCGCCTCTACTAAAAATACAAAAACTAGCCGGGCGTGGTGGCATGCACCTGTAGTCCCAGCTACTTGGGAGGCTGAGGCAGAAGAATCACTTGAACCTGGGAGGTAGAGGTTGTAGTGAGCCGAGATCATGCACTCCAGCCTGGGCAATAGAGCAAGACTCTGTCTCGGAAAAAAATAATAAAAATTTTAAAAAATAAAAAGGGAAGGCCGGGCACGGTGGCTCACGCCTGTAATCCCAGCACTTTGGGAGGCCGAGGCGGGTGGATCACGAGGTCAAGAGATCGAGACCATCCTGGTCAACATGGTGAAACCCCGTCTCTACTAAAAATACAAAAACATTAGCTGGGCATGGTGGTGCATGCCTGTAATCCCAGCTACTCAGGAGGCTGAGGCAGGAGAATTGCCT